TAAAAATAATAAATGCAAATGTATAAAATAAAAGCATGACTAAGTAAAGGAATCTGTTAAAGTTAAAAAATTCAAAACCTTTTGCCTATCAGATTGGGAGAGATTTTTAAAGCTCAGAATTGGAGAGCAAGGTTAAGGGAAACAGTCTCATGCCTTTATAGAAGAACTATGAACGGTACTGTGTTTCTGCAGGGCAGCTTGGCCATACATAGATAAATTTTAAATGTGTATATCCTTAGAGTCGGCCATCCCACACATCTTGGTATTTTTGGGGAGAAGCTAATAAGACAAGTTGAGCAAAGATGATTCAAGGATGATCATTGCAGATTGCCTAAAATAGGGAAAACATGGAAGTAATTTAAATTGCCAATAACATAGATCTGATTAAATTTAGTTATACCCATACAGTGAATGAAATACTATATATGTGCAGAATTATGTTTAGAAGATAATTTTAGATTCATAAAGTGCTTACTAATAACACTTTATACATGCATTTATTTAGCATAATACCATTTTTATAAAATTGTTTAATGGCATGTTCTTATGTATATATGTGCATAGAAAGATGCTTGGAATGATATCCTAAAATATTGATAATGACTTTTTATTTTCAACATTGCTTAAATATTTTCTTAGTGGACAAGTGTTACTTTATAATATTAATAATTTTTTTTTCATTTTGACCAAACAAAAATAGGAAGAGACAGAAATTTAGACTTAGCCTTGTTTTATACTTTTTAATTCTGGACTTTTATGTAACTAAGGACCACTTTTCTGTCATATAATCTTACTAGTAATGTTTATGGTAAGGTTTTGAAGGAACATCAATTGTCTTGGTTTTTTATAAACCATATTCTGTGTCATTCATTGACAGATGCTGTCCATGATATCAAAGGTTGATGAGAGATGAAAAAAAATGCCTTTAAGATGTGTCTTTAAATCTGTCTTGGAGATTTGATACAGAGAATAGCTCTGGTTTTTAGTAGAGTATTGGTGAAAACCTGCTTGCTCTTCATATAAAGTGTTAGTTTAAAAGACTCGATCCTGCAGTGAGTTAAGAAGAAATCTGCTGTGCTGAAGGCTGTTAGTATCCTAATTTGGCCTTAAATTTGTGAGATAGTCTTTGTAGCAATGGCTGGACTTCATTTCTGAATGTGCTCTAAGGAAACCGTTCTTACAGAGCTGTTATGGTAAATACTTCTTCAAGGACCTGGACTTACCCTTTAGGGCAAGGTCTAAGGAATCCTAAGGGAAAAGACCCCTTTTAAAGGTCATTTTCAACGTTACTTGATTAATTACATATTTGGAGTGGTTTCCAATGGAAATAAATTCTGAAATCTATAAAAATCTGCATATCATAGCACTAGGAGGGTAAGTAAAATAACTTAATAAGTCATCATTAGAGATTTTGTGCTTCCAGAGCCCCCGTTATAGCTCTCAGGACATCAGTAATATCCCCAGTTGGCTGACATATAAGTCAGACTTCCCTTTGGAATTGCTAATTTGCTAATAACCGTATTTAATCTGAAGTTTTGGTATTTCATTCTGTTAGAATTCTTGTCTTCCGTAACTTTGTAGGGATGTATTTGGCTATCCTTCTTTAGCTACTTGCCAGAAAGCAAGTTAAGAAAAAAGAATGAAGCAAAAATTTAAGAAAAGAGAATGAAACAAAAAAATAAAGTAAGAAAGACTAAACAGAAGCAAATTTGTTTTTCAAAAGTCAAATCTCTTAAGGAGAGTGATATGAGGATCCAAAAAGAGGGGCCTAGGAAGACAGTCACTATGTGCTCAAGTCCCCATTCATTCTGACTCACTCTAGTGGAGGAGTTTTAGTCACTGAAAGTTCGTTCTGAAACACTCTCTGGTCCAGTAAGAGAATAGTAGTAATACCACCTGCTTTGGAGAAATTGGGGTTTTGTAAATTCATCACTTGATTGTCAAGCACCACCATGGCTGAAGTGGCCCGACCCAACCAAGCTAGTGTTTTGCCTAGTAGAGAATCTGCTTCCTATAGCAGGATTTATTGGCTTCCTAATCCAAGGCATTTGAGCAGGAAAAGAGCCAGGTACAAAGTCAGCCAAACAGAAGGTGATGCTGTTTCCTAGTTGGAGAGGGATTAATTTAATATGATGACATAGACAGTAAAAGCCTATTGCGGATTAACTTATTTTACCTTTGCTACCTAAAAGTTTGTCCATAAACCTTTGTGGCCCATATTTTTCTCTACACGTTTTTAGGTTCTTGTACTATATCCTAGTCCTTAACTTGGTCCATAGTAGTCCAGCACATCCATTTCACTGGTCACTACATATGAGATAGACTTCTCAAATCCAGGTAGCAACTACTGTTCTCTGCTTATCTCAAACTTCAGTGTAGCCTTTTCCTATAGTATGTTTGCATTCATAAGTAAAATGAACAGATGAAGGGAATCTGAACATTTAGATAGACTGATGGGTTTGCAATGCAGCCTGCTGCCCACAGAACTCCACATGCTCCCCCAACTCTCCTAAAACAGACTTCCCCTGTAACCATAATCAATAAATCTTAGATGAGCCAGAAACATATCTGTCCTCCTCAGGCTTGGATGTAGAAGAATTGATCACTTGACTGATACTTCATTCATTACACACTGTGAGAGAAGTTTAAAAACAAACACCTGCAAGTTTATAAAGTAAATAGCCTGGTAAGTTTAGTATAAAAGCATATCAAGCTGAAGACATAAGCTGAACAGCAGGGAAAAAAGGCTAAGATATCGTAACAGGTGGACTTGGTCCTAGCACTTAGCACTATTTAAGTAACCTGCAGGCAGCCCCTTCAGTGCTAACCAATTTATACTGCTACATCTTCAATCCTCCCAGAATGTTCCGCCTTAAGTGAAATCTGACTTTCTTCTGCTGAGAGGGCTTCCTGTAATAGCCGCTGGAATAGAGAGCTCCTCTTCTTAAGCCGGGTGTCTAGTGTCTAGTGGTCAGCTGTCTGCAAATACCTTAATCCCTTCCAGAGATGCTTTTTCTCCACCCTCTTGTGAAGAGCTCCCCTAGCCTCTGTAAGGCTCATCCCATACAGTGCTGCAATTTTCCATGTGTCCTAGTTACTATCTTCCACCAACTTGTATTTTGAGGGCCACGGAGGAAGCAGGGGGAGATGGAGTGGTGTGGTGAGTGGCTGTTTAGTTTCCCACAGTTAGCCTAGTCCCTAGTTCAGATTCTTCTCCTTCTGGTTGATTGTCCAATTTCCCGTCCTCTTGTTTTCTTGGCTACTTCAACTCTAGCTACCTTCATTTGCATTCTACTTTATGGCCACACTGTAGGCTCTGTTGCCTCTCTACCCATCAGAATCTCCCATTGATTAGGTAGATAGGTAGATGTGTGGACGAGTGGATGAAATCATCCAGAACCACTTCATATCAAAAATCATAAACTCCCAACATTCTGACCACAGCCTTTCAACCTTCTGATTTTCTAACTATGCCAATTTTTCAGTCTTTTTCTCCTCCAGTAGATCCCTCTGACTATGTTCTTCCCATTCTTATCTAAGGTATCTCTTAATCCTTAGTTCTACTGTGCCTGCATAGGAAATAAAATAGTCCTGGATCAATCTGTCAGCATTGCTAGAAGAAATTATACTGTTGTTATAGATTAGCATCTGCCTGGGTATAGATGTGGGTCCATCAGAATTGCAGGCAAACTAATAAACTCCTCCCACAGTCCCCACAAGAGCTATTTAGAAGAGCTTACCATTCTCCCTACCCCACCACTTCCAAGCTACTTAACAGAGAACACAGATGCCATCAGACAGGAACTTCCTTAACTTCTTGTGCTCTCTCCTTGCCACCTACAATCTTATTGCATCCTTCCTTTCCTTCCTGCTTCCTGTCTCGGGGGATGGGGCAGGATTCTGTCCCTTCAAGACTAATTCTTCCACCTGCTTCCCTCCCTCCTGACTCTTCTGGGACCCTGCCCCTCCTAATGTCCTCTCCCTTCCTCCTGCATCTCTTCTGGCAGTACTCACGCTGATTAGAAACATGTTCCAGCCTTTTTTTAAAGACATAAATTTTTAAAAATAGTCACCACGTTCCTTCTTCCCTTCCCTTCATGACAGGCGGCCTGCATGAAGTCTCTTCCCTCACTGCCTCTGCTTCCTCACATCCTCACTGCTCAACTGAAGTTTCTCTCCTTAGGTCACTGGTGCCCACTCAAGAGATAAAGCTACTAGACACTTTAAAGACCTTTCCATACTTGACTGCCCTATAGCATCAAGCACTATTAATAACGCTTCTTGAAAATCCCACACTCGTTGGCCTGACAATGTGCTTCTGAGTTTTATCCTTCTCCCTCTTTGAGGATTCATCTGTCTTTATGGATACCTTAAATGCTGATGTTACCAGGGGTTTAGCCCTTGGCTACCCGCTGTCTTGTACTTGCTAGATTCATCTCCTCCATCTGGGCAGGTAAGCTATGTTGTTAACCGCCAAGTATGTTTCTCTAGTGCAAAACTTTTGCCAGCCTACATCTTCAGTTGGTCTCTCCAAAGATGCACACACTCATGTCCAAAACTGAGCATTTTATCTTGTCTCTATCCACTCCTGCCATGACGAGAAACCTTGTCACCAGCTTCTCTTGTCGCACTTACCCACCATGTTTAAATAGTCGGTTGCACAACTGGTCAGTTCCACCTCCTCAATAATACTTTAATCCAAGGACTCTAAACCAGAGGTGAGTATTAGAACCACCTGAGGTTTTTCTTATGTAAGAGATTTGGGGATAATCCCTAGGCTATTTTGTATTGAAAAATTTCATGCTCCAGCCATACTTAACTGTATAGTTGTCTCAATATGCCTGTACTTTTTATAGCAGTTAAAGATATTTTAAATGTATAGAAGTGTTACAAAAATAGTACCGGAAATTCCCATATAACCTTCATCCAGTTTCTCCTTATGTTAACCTCTTATATAAGCTAGAGCATATTTATCAAAACTAAATTAATCTTCATACAATACTGTTAACACAGAATTTATTTGGATTTCACAATAAGTTTTCCACAAATGTCATTTTTCTGCTCCAGGATCCATTCCAAGATCCCATATCGCATTGAATTGTCGTGTCCCCATAGTCTCATACATGTGCTTTTATTCCCCGGTGCCTTTAAGTATATTGTTTCTTTCCTCCCTTGATTTTTCCTGTCTTGCCTGCTTGGCAACCCTGTTATTCTTTACAACTGAGGTCAGATCGTTTCCTTTCCATAAGGTCTTCCTTCCTCCCCCAGCAGAACTGGTATCTAGTGGTCTTTATCCCAGTGTTGTAATCAGTATTAACAGTTAAGTGTGGAGATCAGACATGCAGAGACTGTGTTCATTTCCTTGTTACATTCTTAATGCCAGCCTGAAGGACTGAAAAATAATATGAAGTTAATAAATGTTTAATAATGACATTAAGGATGGCTAGTCATTTTGAAAAAGTTCCTAAAAGAAAGGTATTTTCCTCGAAAAACTATTTCAGTCTGTTTTTTTTTAAACTGGTAATAGAGTTTCAACTGGATTGTCTACCATAATGTATTTTTAAATTTTAATTACCTACTTTTCACAAGTTACAGATCCCTTAATTTAATAATTCCATTAATTCCTGTGTCAGTTTTTAAATTAATAAATTGTAGATGTGGATCTCTCAATCATACATCTTTTTATCTTTTTTGAAATCTCAAAGGTGTCAATCTCAATCATATATCTTGCATAACTGCAAATATCATGCTTCTGGAACACTGTCCAGGACTGACCACTGACATTCTCTTTCACATATCTAAGACAGTAGTCAAAAAGTAGCCTAGAACATAATGTGGTATTCACTGCTGTACCAACTGACTTTTATTCTGGAGAAAGAAATAGACTGTGAGCCAAACTATATAATCTTAAAGAAGATGAGACTACTGCTACTGCTGCAAAGCCTGCATTTTAATAATTCTGTAAGAGTCTGGGGAGCACATCTCTGGTCAGATCTGATTTCAGACCATCTCTCTCCTCTCTAATGTGTAAATTATCTCCATACCATTTTAAGATAACTTGCACAGATTCCAACACAGCAAATGCAGAGAACTATCCTTCTCTATGAATGATGACATCGTTTTGTTCCTTCAGTCCAATAGCAGCTTCAAGAAGCCGTGGTCACATTGCCTTGTTTCCCCTGGAAAAAAAAAAAATGGCTTAATTAACTCTTCCCTCATCCAATTGCCAGCATACATCTGCCATAACACTGGTAACACCTGAGCAAGAAAACAAGTTCTCTAATAGAGAGGACAGTGTCTTGTTACTCTCATATCCACATTGCCTTCTTCCATGCCCTCACTGGATTTGGTAGAAAAAATATTCTCTTTTTAAAAGCCTAAACTGTTTTACAAGTATTCCTCACAATGCAAATGATCCATATTTAACCACCCTATCCAGGTTAGGGGTATAGCTGGATTTTTCCATGATCCATCTCTCAATTACGTGCAGATCTCACATCTGCAGTTTGGTGCTGTTGAGCCTGTATTGCTCAGATTTTTAGTCATTCAAGCACCCAACCTCTACTCTGTTGCACTTAATATTTCCAGTTAAAGCACAGGCAGTGACAAACCATACTTTTCCAGCCTCATTTCTATAACTTCATTGACTCCTAGCCCTTCACCTAGTGGGAATTCTGTTTATTTCCATTTGTTTTCTTCAGTCCATACTCTAGTTCAGAATCTCACTTACAGTCAACCCTTTTCCCACCTGGGGAATTTACTGACTCTCTGGCTGCTTCTGGTATTAGGAAACTGGATAACCTTTTGGCTTGAACTCTAGGTGACAGCTGTTTTTGCCGTACAAGGCTATCTTCTAGAACCTCATTTGTATTCTGCACTGCTCTGGAACCCATTTCTTTCCTATCTATTCCCTATCGTTGAAAGAGTGAATGATTTCTAGCTCATTCGTTGTGTTCTTAAGCTCCTATGTTATGCCCTGTCTGCTCCCACTTGCCCTACCTCTGTACCTTATCCAGGTTAAATGATCCCTTTTGCTTCCTGCATGGTTTGAAGACATAAACTATCCATTTCATTGTAAGATTTGTGAGCTTATTGCATTTGAAATTATTTCAGTTCCATATACCACTCTGAGCCCTCTCTCAGGGTATCTCCCACAAAGATACCTTTCTTTTGAAGAACTAACCATTTTTTCTTAGCAATACCTACCATGCAGTATTTTATCTATAAATCAATAAATTTAGAATTTATTACTTGAATTCAAAACTTGGCTAAAACAACAGTAGAGGGAGGCAATGTTATATAGTAGTTGTGAATACAAATTCTGGCTCCGATTCTTTTCTTTTCTCTTTTCTTTTCTTTTCTTTCTTTCTTTCTTTCTTTCTTTCTTTCTTTCTTTCTTTCTTTCTTTCTTTTCTTCTTTCTTTCTCTATCTCTTTCTTTTTCTTTCTCTTTCTTTCTTTTTCTTTTTTCTTTCTCTTTCTTTCTCTCTCTCTCTCTCTTTTTTTTTTTTTTTTTTTTAAATGGAGTCTCATTCTGTCGCCCAGGCTGGAGTACAGTGGTGCGATCTCGGCTCACTGCAACCTCTGCCTCACAGGTTCAAGCAATTCTCCTGCCTCAGCCTCCCAAGTAGCTGGGATTACAGGTGCCTGCCACCATGCCCAGCTAATTTTTAGATTTTTAGTAGAGGCAGTGTTTCACCATGTTCGCCAGGATAGTCTCAAACTCCTGACCTGGTGATTCGCCCACTTTGGCCTCCCAATTCAGCAAATAAAACAGGTAACTACTCTTTGGTTTCCATGAACCCTTTTATATTTACTGGGGGTTTCAAAGCTGATTTTTTTATCCAGTAGGATTACACTAGATATGGTGTTAGGTTTTCATCTATTTCTGAAAAACTTAAGCTAGTACACAGAAAATATTATAGCATATCTTTTATTAGTCCTTGAATTTTTCAGTATGTACCCTTAATATATCATACAAACACTGAAGATTTTAAAAGCAATTCAAGCAACTACCCTTTACTGTCTACTGTGTGATAGGCACTATTACGCACTATGTGTATATTCTCTTCTCCTAACAATCCTATGAGGCAAGATAATGTAACCTAAGGAGCTTATGTGATTTGCCCAATGTCACAATATTAGAAAGTATCAGGCCAAGTGCCATGACTCACACCTGTAATCCCAGCACTTTGGGAGGCCAAGGCGGAGGGATCATGAGGTCACAAGATCGAGACCATCCTGGCCAACGTGGTGAAACCTGGTCTCTGCTAAAAATACAAAAATTAGCTGGGCATGGTGGTGCATGCCTGTAATCTCCCCCTACCCTCGTTTCTCTTACACATACCCCAGTGTTCTTGCTGGAAGCTCTTGAAATAATTTTTATGTCCAGAGTATTGTCTTTATTATATTTTATACTTGAGTAAGGGTGATAGAGTTTAGTTGTAAGAAGCTATTAAGATGTCATAACTCAGACAGACTCAGATGCTGAGGTCTTGGCCCCACAGGCTGGGGGAGAAGTGAGAACCAAGGCTGGTGGAACTGACCTGACCACAGGACCTTTTCCTAGCCAATGGAAAAGCAGCCAAGTCTTCTATTCATAACACCTGCTAAGGATACAGCACAGCCATTACATCTTCACTCACAGAAGTGGTCCATCCCACAGCAGCCATTGAGCTAGATGGGAATCAAGCAGGAATTCCAAGAGGCTGAAGTGCCCCGGAGATGGCAGACAATTAGGGAAAGGAGAGTTAATAAGAGATATATTTACAGGGGTAGAATTTCTGTGAACAGCTGGATCATACCAGACCAGGGCAGGCTCCAAATCCTGGGGTGGAGGCCTGAAAATAGCAGGACAGAATGTCTGGGCTGGGTTTGGCATGAGACTTAGTCACACCAGGAAGTGGTGGTTAGACATATGGAACACAAATCAGGATAGAGATGAGAGACCAGAGGATGTTTCCAACACTGTAGACCAGATAGGGTGACTGTAGGGTGCTGTGCCTCATACTTTGACTTGCCAGGGATGAGATCGAGTGGAGGAGCTCAGTGCTCTAGGGTTCCAGAACATTACTTTGCCTAACCACTTTTTCTGAAAAAAGCATGTGAAGTATTCACTTTACCATTATTCTTTAAACCATGTAAGTATGTTTTATGCACTCTTCTGTCTATGTGAATTATTTTGTAGTAGTAAAGGAAAGTATTTGGAGTTGTAATATTAGAAGAGAATTGTAGAGGCCCTTTATTGTGTTTATATTGGCATTTCTGTTACTGGGCAGGAGTGTTAGTAAGAACATCTTGTCATATTCTGGTTCTGTTTCCCTAAACTTGTTAGAGAGTTCTTTCCTAAAGATTTATTATTAAAAATGTAAAAAAAAAATTGTGAGTCACAGAAAATAGTCTAGAATATTAAAGGGATTCTGTGCTTAAACTCCTACCTGTTACTAGGGCAGTAGCCTTGAAAATATTTAAATAAATTCAAAAGAATAAAATTAATATGAGTTTTTAAATTTATAATCAAAATCATCTAAGCTGTACCAGCTGTGTATCTGTTACAATTTTTTCCTCAAAATTTTAATTTAAAATCACCTTTATTATTACAGCATTAAAATCAGTATACAGATAAACCAAAATAAAACATCATATTCTCATTAGCCAGGTGATATTAACTATTAGCTCCTTAGTATATATCATTCAGATATTCTTTGTAGATTTTTTTTACCCAAATGATGTTATAGAATATACTATATAATTTTTCTCATTTTTAATTTTGTGGGTATATAGTAAGTGTATATATTTATGTGGTATATGAGATATTTTGATATAAGGATGCAATGCATAAAAATCATATCATGGAAAATTGGGTATTCATCTCCTCAAGCATTTATCCCTTCTATTACAAACAATCCAGTTATGCTTTTTAGTTGCCTTGAAATGTACAGTTAAATTATTATTGACTGTAGTAACCCTGTTGTGCTATTAAGTACTAGGTCTTACTTCTTTCTGTCTTTTTTGTACCCAGTAACCATCCCTACCTCCCTATCACCACCCACTACCTTCCCAGCCCCTGGTAACCATTCCCTCCTCACTATCTCCATGAGTTCAATTGTTTTGGTTTTTAGATCCCACAAAACAAGTGAGGACATGCAATGTTTATCTTTTGGTACCTGGCTTATTTCACTTAACATAGTGACCTCTGGTTCCATTCATGTTGTTGCAAATGACAGAATCTCATTATTTAGTGGCTGAATAGTACTCCATTCTATCCATATACTGTATTTTCTTTATCCATTCTTCTGTTGATGGACACTTAGGTTGCTTCCAAGTCTTAGCTATCGTGAACAGTGCTGCACAACAAACATGGAAATGTGGATATCTCTCTGATATACTGATTTCCTTTCTTTTTAATATATATCCAGCAGGGGGATTGCCAGATCACATGGTAGCCCTATTTTTAGTTGTTTGAGGAACCTCCAAACTATATCCATAGTTGTTGTACTAATTGACATTCCCATCAACAGTGTATGAGGGTTCCCTTTTCTCCACATCCTCTCCATCGTGTGTTATTGCCTGTCTTTTGGATAAAAGCCATTTTAGCTGGGGTGAGATGATATCTCATTGTACTTTTGATTTGTATTTCTCTGATCATCAGTGATGTTGAGCACATTTTATTTGCCTGTTTGCCATTTGTGTATCTCTTTTTGAGAAATGTGTATTCAAATAGCAGCAGACTATTCAGTCTATTCAAATATTTTTTCCATTTCCCAATTGGATTATTAGATTGTTCCCTAGAGAGTTGTTTGAGCTCTTTATACATTCTGGTTATTAGTCCCTCATCAAATGGGTAGTTTGCAAATGTTTTCTCCTATTATGTGGGTTGTCTCTTCATTGTTTTGGTTGTTCCTTTATTGTACGGAAGCTTTTTTACTTGATGTGATACCATTTATCCATTTTTACCTTGATTGCCTGTGCTTTTGGGGATGCTCAAGAAATTTTTGCCCAGACTACTGTCCTGGAGAGTTTCTCCAATGTTTTCTTACAGTAGTTTCATAGTTTGAGGTCTTATATTTAATTTTTAATCCATTTTGATTTGATTTTTGTATATAGTGAGAGATAGGAGCAAATTTCATTCTTCTGAATATGGATATCCAATTTTCCCAGCACCATTTATCAAAGAGACT